AGAACCCCGTTCCTTCCTCAAAGAGTTAAAGATAGACCTACCTAGGACCTGGCAATCCCACTTCTGGGCATTTATCTGAAGAAATCCAAAACGCCACCTCAAAAGGACACATGCACCCTGCGTTCACTCCAGCATTATTTACAGTAGCCAAGATATGGAGGCAACGCAAGTGCCCATCAGCAGACGACCGGGTAAAGAAACGCGGAGGCATACATGCCATGGAATATTACTCAGCCAGAAAAAATAATAAAATCTTACCATCTGCGACAACATGGACGGACCTAGAGGGGACAGTGCTGAGTGAAAACAGTCAGAGAGAGAAAGACAAACACTATATATGATATCGTTCATATGCGGAATCTAAAAAATGAAATAAATGAACGAAACAGAAATACGTGGAGAGCAAACTGACGGTTATCAGAAGGGAGCGGACCGGGGGCGGGGGGGCTGGGCGAGAAAGGGGACGGGATTAAGCAGCACGAATTGGTGGTTACAAAATAGTCACGGGGAGGTGACGTACAGCGCAGGGAACGCAGTCAGTAATGCCGTAATGACTGGGTAGGGTGCCAGGTGGGTGAAGACGGATCGTAAGTTACAGAAACCTCCAACCACTATGCTGTACACCGGAGAATGACAGAATGTTCAATGGCAAATGAACCGAAAAATAAAAAAGAATTTAAAAAAAAAAAGAACCCCTCTCAAACGCACACCCCATCGCTTCCTAGGCCAGCACCCCGTTTTATTTTCCGCACAGACTTCTGCAGAGCTGAACTCAGCCCACTTACTTTATTGCCTGTATCCCCGGGGCCTCTGAGAACGCAGAGCAGGCGCTCAGTTCTCCGAGGGCCTTCTCCGCGGGGCCATCGGTCACAGGGAAAAGATGCCAACGGCCCCCGACACGCCACCAGCGGAGGCCTGCTGCGTAAACGACGGTGTCTCCGCACCGCAAAGTGCTGCGCGGCTGTCACCACAGACGTGCACAGACAGACGGACAGACGTGGAAGGGTTCGGCAAGGCCGGAGGGTACAGAAACCAGCGGTATTTCCGCACGCCGGCGGCGAACGGTCCAGAAATTAAATGACGAGAATGATGCAACTTGTCGCAGCATCAAAAAGAACAACATACTTGGGGACAGATTTGACGAAAGACATGCAGGACTTGTACACAGAAACACGTGTGAATGGGATTAAAGGAGACCAGATTAAATGGAAAGGCATCCCGCGGTCATAGGCGAGGTGATTTAACATTGTCGCAATGACGAAGCTCCCCAAATGGCTCTATAGATTTGACCCAATCACCGTCAAAATCCCAGCTGGCTGTGCTGAAGAGATGAACAAAACTCCCCCTAAAGTCAGGATGGAAATTCAAGGGACCCAGAATAACCAACACGATCTTGAGAAGGTTGGAGGAGTCACACTTCCTGAATTCCAACTTGCTTCGAAGCTACAGTAGTCAAGATGGACAGACAGGTCCGTGGAACAGAAGCCTCACATCTATGGTCAATTGATTTTTGACAGGAGTGCCAAGACCGTTCAACGGGAAAAGCATAATCTTTCCGATGAATAGTGCTGGGATGAGGGAACACATCCTGAAGACAATCAAGTTGGACCCCGTCCTTAAAATACACACGAAAACGAACGCAAAATGGTTTGAAGCCTTCAATACAAGACCTAAACCTCTCTTAGAAGAACATCTGGGAGAAAATCTTTGTGACGCTGGGCTAGTCAAAGGCTTTTTAGGAATAATAACCAAAAGCACGAGCTACAGAAGAATAGATTATGTGGACATCGCCAAAATGAAAAGCTTTCGTGGTTCAAAGGGCACCAGCAAGACAGTGAAAACTCACAGAATAGAAAAACTTTGCAGATCACACATCCGATAGGGATTACATAAAGAACTCACACAACAACCATGAAAAGATAAACGACCCGCAGAAAAACGGGCAAGGGACTGGAACAGACATTTCACTCGAGAAGATAACACACGTGGCCCGCAATGCCACTCCCAGGTATACACCCGGGAGCAAGGAAAACACATCCGTCCCAAACACATGTGCCCGTACGTTCACAGCAGTGTCATTCATAACCGCCGAAGCGGGAAACCGCGGGCAACCACCCAAACATCCGCCCGCAGGCGAGCGGATCAACAAAACGTGACGTACCCACACCTCACGCACACCTCAAACACGGCATGCCCCGTGAGAGAAGACAGCGGCTCGGGAGCGAATGTCGAACGACTCCACGCACGCGGCTCAGGCAACTCCGCAGGGCGGGCGGCACGTGAGTGTCTGCCTGGGGCCGGTGCGGGGCAGAGCTGCGGGAAATGTCACAGAACTGACTTGGTGTTGCTCGCACGGCTCTGGGAAGACACTAAAGGGCAGATCGTAAGGTTTGTGAATTACGTTTCGATGAGCTCACCAGCTCCCCCATTTGAGAGGGAAGCTGATGGGGAAGGGGCCTGACGGGTTCCACGGCTGGCTCCCAAGTGAATTATCACCAGCGCCCTGGCCCCTGGCCAAGTCCCCTCAGCCCTGACAGTCTCCCTGGAGCTGGAGCAGCAGACACGCAGCCGTGACACCGCCTGGCACTGCGCCCTGTCCTCTGCAGGCACTTGATACGCACTCCAGAACTGAGTGAGCGGGGTCTGCTTCATGGCTTTTCAGTTGTCACAAATTTGTCTTCAGGCAGCTGTGGCAGCACCTGCTAACTGCCCCCTAACAGCTGTCCTCTCCCCAGTAACAGAACCACCGGTTTCTAGTGAAGCACATGGCCACTCAGGGTGTGGTCAACACTTTCTGGATTACTTCATTAGGTGTGGCCATGTGACCAGGTTTTGGCCACATGGGGATATAAGGAGAGGGTTATTTTCAACTTTAGAGTTTTTAAAGTGAGGTAATGGACCCTTGGGCTCTCCCTCCTTCCTGCTGGCTGGAACGGAGGGAGCTGTGTGGGAGCTTGAGCAGCCATATTTCACCATGAGGAGGAAGCCACGTGCTGAGGATGGCAGAGCCACGAGGCGGAGTGAGCCTCTGGCAGCATAATCTTCTGTCACAGGGCAGCACGATAATAGCCCTGACGATCTTCAGACTTTGTGATCTAACCGAATATAATCTACTAATTGTCATTTTTTCTCACTACCTGCTAATTCTCTCTGGTCCAGCAGCCCCTTCCCTCCGACATCATAAAGTCACATCTCGTCTGTGATGACAAAGTGATGCCCGGGAAGGGCCAGCCTGGGAAACCTGTGGCCTTCATCCAGAGTGCTGACCTGGCAGCTGCTCCCGCATCCTCCCAGGAACACTGGGCACTGGAGGGTGCCGGACTCCTCCGGACAGGCAGGGAGCCCTCGCTGGCCCACACCCCGGCCCCACGCCACCTGCTCCAGCACAGGCCAGGGTGTCTGGCCTCCTCGGAGTCCCCAGCTAGCCCAGCTGTCCAGCTCCCGCGGGCAGGACCTTCCCCTGGGACATCAGCATTCTCCAGGTGCCTTTACCTGGGCACCCACGTCTTCCCCTCCCGGCCCCGGGCATGGCCTCCCCCAGAAGGGCGGCCGAGTGGGGTTTCGAGCCAGGCAGCCCCAAGTGCAAACCCCAGCTCTGCCGCCTCCTGAAACTCAGCTTTCTCCTGTGGCCTGGGACGCGGAGCTATGCCTGGGCCACCGACCCCACAATGCCAGCACAGGGAAGTGCTGAGCCTCAGCATCTGTTGTCATCATCATCATTTCTAGTTCCATAAATAACGGGGGCTGAGCCTTGGGTCCCAGCTGGGCTGGTGACCGGGCCATCTTCGGAGGTCCCCAGGGAACGGGCTATTTTAGGCTCTGGCCAGGGAACCAGTGCTCTCTCTGGGTCTTGCTGTAAGGGACTCCTGTGGCTGCCAACAGAGAGGGGAACAATGTCTGCAACGCCCAGGTCGAGGCCTGCAGGCCGAGCCACAGTGACCACTGGTCCTCAGGGTGGCGTTCCTGCTGCAGGAATGAGTTGGAATCTGCCACCTGCCACTCCTGGGAGCCAGCACCCAGAGCCCGTACAGCCCACGCTGAGCTGGCCAGCACACGCCCTGGTAGGTGCCCAACACCCACCAGTCTTTGCTGCCACCACAGTGCAGAAGTTGGCCTGTGGGCCACCTCATGTCACTCCCCGGCTTCTGTTCGGGGAGCTGCCTCTCCCCTGCTGTCAGGCCAAGTGTTTGGGGACCCACCACCGAGTAACAGGGTGTGTCATGCAGTCCAGGTGTAAGGCAATGACAGGGCTCAGGCATCTGGCCACGGTGACTGGCTCAGAGGTGGCCCAGTGACAAGTCTAACCATCTGGCCCGATCACAGGTAAGCCTGGGCTTTGGCTTGAGTGACTGGCCAAGACCAATTCTTTCCTGCGGGATGGGAATCTAAGACACGGGCTGAGGCCACGAGAGGACGAAGCTGCCATTCGGTGGAGGGCAGAACAAGAGGTACGGATCAAAACAGTGATGACGTCCCTCGAAACCCCGAATCCAAGTGCGCCCGAGGCCAGCCACCTGGACTTCCGAGTTCTATGACATGA